TCTCCACACCCTGCTCCTTCTTCAACTTGTACAGCTTCTGGCGCAGCACATCCTGGTGCCGCTCCCGCAGCCTGCAAAGAGATGAGCTGTCAGGTCCCACGCAGCAGAACCACCTCACACCCACAATGCCCAGAGCTGTGACACCCACATCGGGTCGAAATCTGCTGGGTTTTGTAGAGTTTGGGGATGACTAACCCTCCAGTGCGGTTTCCTCTTGGAGGCCTCACTAAACATTGCCGCTGGAGAAGGGACAGAGTGCACAGCCCTTCTCCATACTTGGGAGAACTCACTGTCTTGGAAAAGGTGTAAAACCCCTCCACTTCAGGTTTGTGCCTCCCCAGCTCTACTCATGGCAGGGTCTGCGCTGCCCCCTTCCCCAGCCCTGGCCAGGGCACAGTCCCTGCTCTCACCTGGCCCGAGCCATGTAAGCCTTCAGCTGCTGCAGCAGGCTCTCCCAGTACCCAATGTCAAGGTTGGGTCCTCCTGCCCGGATCTTGCTCTCGATGCCCTGGTATAGCACTTGCAGCTGGTTGTATGTCTTCCCCTTGAACACAGACTGCACATCTGAGCTGACGGACGCGTTGACACCATCCCGACGCTCCCCTGAACAGACAGGCAAGGGTGGCCAGTCAGACTCCGAGCGCTTTGCCTGCCTTCCCCTGGACCCTCCTGGGCTGCACCCGACAACGGAAGGCTGGACCCCAGCAGGGGATGACTGCCAGGTCCACAGCCTCCATCCAGCAGATCCCAGAGAACGCCTCTGCGCCCGAGTGCATGCAGCAGACCCCAGGCCCCGCTTTACCCACCGTTCACACTCCCCTTGACACCCACAACAGGCTCTGCCCTCCTGCTTACCTGGTCCTCCTTTCCCAGAGGCCTCCAGTTTGCGGAGCTTGGCTATCTCATCCTCTGTGATGATGGTCATGTCCCTCCAGAAGTCCACGTTCTTCCCTTGCTCCAGCTCCATGTAAACCTGCAGGCAGGAGACACATAGGACATGAGGCACCTGCTCTGCACCATGGGCAGGGGAGCAGAGCTGAGGGGGTCCTTGAGCTGCTGCCCCTCAGCCAGCCCTGGCACGGGGGAGGGAGCAGAGCTGGCACCTGGATGTCCTCTACCAGATCCTCCATGTCAGAGACGGTCAAGCCGTTCAGGAAGGTGTAGGGCTCATGCATCTCCACGGCCAGGTCGTCATCTTCTGCACTGATGTACTTGGCTAGAAGGTCAATAGGTTTTGCCCTCCCATCCCGAATCCGGATCTTAGACCTGGGAAGGAAGAGAACAGAGGGACAGTAAGCACTGCCTGCCATCTGCTGCTCCCTGGCGGGCTGATCCTCATGATGCTGCACACCTACCGCAGCTTGGCCTGCTGCAGGTGGAAGTTGTCCTCCTGCTCCTCCCAGGTTTTGAAGTGCTCTGCCTCTTTCTCCCGCTGTAGCATCTCCAGCTCCTGCTCACGCATCGCCTTCTCCCGCTCCCGCTCCAGGCGCAGCTGCTTCACCTGCCCGGGCAGAGGGAGACGTGAGGCCATTGCGGATGGGGTACCCACACAGGACATCCATTCAAGGGTGCAGCTGTAACCCTGCTCACTGAACTGCCTCAGCTCCTGCAATCAGCCTGAGGCTCCCTGGGGAGCCAGGAGCCATGCAAAAGAAGAGCCAGTGTGGGCCAGTAGGGCTGGCATGCGTGCTGATCACTACCAGCACTTTGGAGGATAGGGGATACAGGCATAACCGAGTGCCTCAGTGCCGTGACCTGGCACTTGTCCAGCTCAGGAGGTGCTGAGGAGGACTCAACCCCAATAGAACAGTCTTTTCACCCTGGAATAGCAGAAGCCAGTATAGCGTACCCGCCCCCTCCCCCAATCCCACAGCCTGTGGGCAGCCCCAGTGAGAAGAACAAGGGGCTTCCAGGTGAGTAACTAGGAGAACCGGGCTGTCCACAGGGTTCTCTGTCAGATGGTGGGAGCGAGGGAACATGCGATCCCACCTTCTGCAACTCCAGACGATTGTCCTCCTGGATTCTCTTGTTCCTCTCCTTCAGGTCCTTCTCATCCAGGTGGCTGATTCCTTTCTTTTCCAGTGCCTAAAATAAAATGGCCAGGGGAAGCCATGAAACCCCGCGACTTCTACAGCCCCTCACTGGTCACCACATCCACCTGCGTCCGCTGCTCCAGCGAGCTCTGATCCCATCAAATGTCCCCAAATCTCTCAAATCGTACTCCTGAAGCCCCTCAGCAAAACCCAGGCTCAGCCCAGGGAGGCCACCTGACCTGGCAAGTGCTAATACACCAGTAAACACTGCCCAGCACTCAGCTTCCCTCTCCTACACCCTGACCGACCTCTTCATCCCACACCCCTACCTACAGACCTTGGTCTTCAGGAGAAAGGTGATAAAACCTCACTGAGCTTGTCAGACATGGCACGCTGCTGCCCTAGACGAGTGCTTTGCTCTCACATGGCTGCTTTCAGTGTTTCAGAGCTTCCCACCTCAAAGAAAAGTCCCCTATCCTCCCCCTCCCCCTGATGCCCCACTGCTCCTCTGTCCTGTCCTGTCCCATGGCAGCTGCAGGGGCACGATCTCCTTTGAGCAGCCTCATGCAACACACAGGTGCGGAGCAGAGCTCACCTTACTCCAGATGAAGGTGCCTAGCAGGTTGTTGTCCCCAAAGGGATTGTCGGTATTGGTGTAACCCATGTACTCCTCTCCCCATCCCATCTTCTCCCGCTTCTTCCTCTCCTTGGCCTCCTTCTTGGCCAGCCGGCGAGCCCGTTTCTCCTCGGGTGTTTCCAAGGCTTTCATGAGTGCAGCCTGCTTCTTCTTCTCCTCCTTCAGCCTCAAGCGCTCCTGGAGGCTCAGCTGCTGCCCTGTCTCCTCCCTGCCCTGGGACCGCGGTGGGGAGGGAGAGCTGACAGAGGACACAGAAGACTTAGAGCCATCTCTCTTCCTCCGCCGCTCTCTGCTCCGGGCTCTCCTCTTGTCTCGGTCATGCTCTGAGCTTGAGCCAGAGGAGCGATCCCGGGACCGCGAGCGATGTTTCTTCTGGCTTTTATGGTGCTGGTCCCTGCTTTTGCTTTTCTTCTTCTTCCATTTCTGTCTCTCATCGCCAGAGTCGGAGCTAGGGTGGGGCGGGAAAGTCGTATTTCAGTTGGGTGATGGTTATGGGCTCCTTGTCGGAATACAGGTGCCTCTAGAGCAGAGAGCATGTTTCCCTGCTGCAGATGAGGCAAGAACCGACCCAAGGCGCAGCCAGAGCTACCAGCAGAGACGAGAAAGCTCAAAAGCGCTTTCATGGCGGTACCTTCTCCCCTGCACCAACCCTTCCCCCCAGCAAAACCCGGCTCGGGCTGTTTTTGTGTCACATACGCCACTTTCCAACCACTCCTCGGCAACCCCTGCTCCCTGCCGCCTCGCCTCGGCCTCTCCCTCGGCGCCTCCACCTCAGCCGAGTACCGGTAGCAGCGAAAAGTCT